GCTGTCCCTGTTTTATGGATGAAGAAACTGGGGTTCAGAGAGGCGAATCTGGAAGTGCCCCCTGGCTGGTGAGGGGCTCTCTTGGGCAGAGCTGGTCATTGGCCTTTTCAGAGGATCGAGTCGGGGTGAGCGTGCACCGTCAGGCTGAACAGGCTCGAGGAAGCTTTTGGCACAAGAGCCCTCCCAGCAGGGACCTGCCTATCAACCTTCTCAGTGACCACAGGGCCTTGGTGGGTGCTCAGTAGCCTCTGAGCACTATTTCTGTGTCCCTCCCCCGCCTACTGCCCCACCAAATTGGTGGAGGTGTTCTGGCATTTCTTGCTCTCAACCAACATGCACAGAGCTCCACCCCGTGCATGGCACTGAGAACCAAGCAGGACAGAACAAAAGCAGGTTCCCGGCCTCCTCTGAGCACGAGGAGACTGCCAGTCACTGAGCACGTATGCATCAATATGTCAGGCGTAACAAGTGCCAAACGGACCACGAGACAGGACAAGGGGTCAGAGATATGTAAGTTGAGCTGGGGGCGGGGGGGTGGGGGGCTCTGATAAATAAGGTGGCCAAGAGAGGTGTCTCTGAGGTCACATTTGAGCAGAAACCTAAGGGAAGTGAAGGAGCAAGGCTGCGGATGGCGGGGGTGGGTGGGGTGGCCATCTGGGCAGAAGCGACAACCAATGCTAAGACCCCAAGGAAGAGTGTGCCTGGCGGGGCTGAGAAACCGGAAGGCCAGTGAGTGGGCAAAGGAAAGACAAGAAGAAGGTAAATTCAGGGGGTGGAGATGGCAGGGGAGGCCACGTGGGGTCTGGGGACTCTGAAAGATTCTGGTTCACAATGGAGTTGTGAGCTCTCTCAAAAACTGTGGCAGATATTCCTGGAAGCTGGACAAAAGCAACAGATTCCTTTTCCTCTGGAATCTTTTCCTTGTTATCCTGGGCCATGCAAACAATATGGTCACTTCCTCCTCCTCCTCCTCCTTCTCCTCCTCTTCCTCCCTCCTCCCTCCCCCACAAGCCTGCCCCTGACCTTGTCCCAGGCTGGCTTGCCTGCATGCAGCTGAGGCAGTGGCCACCTCCTGGCTGCAGGCAGAGGACAAGGCCAACAAGGGGACGAGGGGACAGGAGGAAAGACGCCCCCGGGAGAGGCAGGCGGCAGCACGAGGGACGACGTCACGGGGGCCTCTGACCGCTATTCATTTCAGTCCCCGGGTGTCTCCATCAATAACCGTCTGCCAGTGACCAGGAGGGAGGAGGAGGGGAGGGAGGAGGGGTGATCTGGGGTCTGGACAAGGGAGGGATGAGATGGAGTGGGAGAGAGGCTCTTTGGCAGCTTCTCCCAGCCTGGGGCAGGAGCTGGAGGTGGGGAGGGCAGAGTTTCTATCTCCCAGTCTTCTCTCCCTGCTTTCCTTCTTCCATCTCTGTGTCCCCTTCACAAATACGTCCCCTTTCCGCCTCCTCTCTGAAGCCAGGAAGGAAGGTAGGCAGGACCAATTCTACACTGGAAGAGGAGGAAGGGGGTTTGAATTGGGCACAAGCTGCATGGTGGAAGAGTTGGAAACTGCAGTGAACACCAGGAGCACTCTGTGCCCAGCAACAAGAACAAACCTGGTGACAAGGGCTGGTGCAGGCTCCAGACTGGCACCACCAGCCTGCAGGCCTCATGAGAAGGTGGCCTGGGACACAGGGCCTGGCACAGAGCCTGGTACAGAGAAGGCACTCAGGAAATAAATGGCCGTGAGATCTCCCCAGTGGCTGGCTGTGGCGGTGGGCTGGGGATGGACTAAACCAGTCAAGGAGGGCTGCCTGGAGTAGGTAGAACTTGAGCAGATTCCTGCAAGGTGGACTGGGCCAGGAGAAGTGGGAATGGGGAGACAAGGCAATACCAGATGAGCAGGCGGTGAGAATAGAAAAATGAGAGTTGGAGGGGAGCACAGGTTGATGGGAACCTCGGATAAGATAACAGGAGAAAGAGAGGAACAGGGGAGGATGGCCCACCTTCTCTGGTGCGACTGTTCCCCAGGGGACTCAAGCCTGCTTTGGCCATAGTGGGCTTTTCCACTTTCCCTATGGTTTTAAGCCTGGCAGGCCTCACGAGCTACCCTCAGCCACATGTGCAGGCAGAGGAAGAGGCCCCTGCCACTGGCAGCTTGAAGGAACCCCGATAAAGACTCCCCATCACTAAACACTCCCTGCCTTGTCACATGCCTGAAGGGCAGGACTGACAAGTCATCCCTTCAGTATATTGCTATGTACAATCTGGATTCCCCTGCAAGGAGGTAAGGGTGTGGCCCTGTTAGAGTCGCTCAATGGGAGAGCTAGACTGAGTCCTCTCAGTTCACAGATGGGGAAACTGAGGCCAGACAGGGGATGTGATTTTCCAGTGTCACCCAGGGAATTAAAGGCAGAACAAGGGGTGCTTCAGGCCCAACTCTGTGCCTCAGTGGTTTGGACACACCCAAGAAGCCCTCTGACTGGGAGGGGTGCGAAGACCATCCCTCATCACAGATGCGACAACAGGGATGGGGGCAGGAAACACAGGGGACACATGACATCCCCACCTAGTTCATCAGGACAGCTTGGCTGCGGTCCTCCTTACAGATGGAGCCTTTATTTGGAAGGTCTGGAGGGTCCCTCCACCATCCCTGATGGAGCAGCCGCCAGCCCTCCTGGGGGGGGGGGGCAGAACAAGGGTTCGTGGTCAAGTGTGGCCAGAGGTGCAGGGGTGAGGGGTGGAAGCTGCCCCTTCTGGGAGGTGCAGTAGCTGGGCTGACGCGGCCAGAAGCAGCACCCTGAGGGAGAGGGCAGAGAGGCCTGAGGCACCAGGGCGCAGGGACAAGGACAGACCCGTGGGGAGAGGGGGTGTGGTGGGGGGAAGATGCAGGGTGGGGAGACTCCGCGGAGGGAGCAAAATAGAAAAGCAAAGGGAGGGACGAGAGGCAGACAGACGGGAACACGGAGAGGCAGCGAAGCTCCGAGTGGAGTGCACAGGAAAGGAGAGGTGGGGAGAGGGACGAAGCGCAGGGAGGGGGCGGGCGCCTGGAGGGCGGGCGTCAGGGCGCGTCGGCGGGCCCGGGGCGCCCCACTGACCCTTGTCGGCGCTTGCTTCCCTCCCCAGGCTGCGCTTTCCTCACCTACTGCGAGCGTGAGTCAGCGCTGAAGGCCCAGAGCGCGCTGCACGAGCAGAAGACTCTGCCCGGGGTAAGTGGCACCCGCCGCGGCGCGAGCGACCGACGCGCCGACAGGGGGCGACTGCGGGAGGCCGGGGAGGCGGGGAGATGGCGGCTGGGGCCCGCCGCCCGCCTTCGCTCGGGAGCTCGCGCCAGCCCTGTGTGTGCCCCGCGGCCGCTAGGCGCCGGCGGGTGGAGTGCGCGTGGGCGCCCAGCTCCGACCTCGCGCGGCCGCCTCGGTCCTCGGCCGTCCAAGCCCGACGGAAGCCGGGGCCGGGGCCGACTGGGCCAGGGCCGGGGCGCGGCGCGGCACGGCCCGGGCCCTGGAGCCCAGCAGCCCCCGGCGGCCGCGCGTGCGGTGGAGTGTGCCCATGCCGTGCGCCCGGGCTGCTCCCGAGCGGGCCGGCTGGGAGGGGGCGCCTCCCCGCCCGAGCTCGGCGCCGCGAGTGAGATCACCGCGGTTTATTTAAGGAGCCAGCCCTCGTCTTTGATAAACTATCGCGCCTCGGCCCTGGTTTATAGCTTCTGTGCGGGGGAGAAGAGAATTATTTATGGCCCCCCTAACTGGGTGTGATATCAGCCATGGCTATTATCGAGGCTAGTTCATCACCATAAAATAAGAAGTGTTCCTCGGGTCAAGGGTCCGCGCGGTCTCTCCTGTGGGTTCAGAGAGACGGGGCGGGGGGAGGGGGGAGGGGGAGATATACGGCTGCTGAGTATCTAAAGATAAATGGAAAGATGTGTGTTTGCGGGCATAATGTAAAGAATTTATAAATATACAGTGTTTAAGTGTATACAATGGGCACTGCAGGGAAGCACGTGTGTTCTATATGTATGCACACCCATGCTCACACATGCATGTTTACATTCTTACCAAGCCAACCGTATGTAAACACACGTTTCCATTTCTGCCCCACAGCGGGAAAGGTTAACCAGGTAGACGGAGAGAAAATGCAACCCGGGGCGGGGGCAGCCTTCTTTTACATCAAAGATCTTTCTTTACTGGTTTAGGGGTGGGGAGTGCTGGATTGCACAGGGCCTTCCTTCCATTAAGACAGCCTTTGTATTGTATTTTGGTATTTGTGATTGCAAAGCACGGGGCTGAGTCATCTTAATAACATACCCGCAGATGCAAATATATGGAAATTGAGCACCGCACAGATTTTGTGTGAAGCCCAGCTCTGGCAGGGTGGCCATTCCCCAGTTGGTTTTTTAGTGGCGAGGCTACATGCACATATATTATAGTAATTACTTTCTGGGTGCCCTCTGTAAGATGGCAGAAATATGCTCCACATCGCCCCATGTTATGTGTGAAGCATAAAGCCATATTGTAAGATAATCAAAGGCTTCTGAGAAAGGTTTGTGCTGATTAATAAAGTGTTTATGGTACTTTGTTTTGGGGGAGATTGTGATAGATATTTTAGAGCCACCCAAATGGAATAGAAAATACCACATTGTTATGGGAGGCCCTTCATCAGCTGGAGAGAGATTGCTGGGGAGTTTCATGATGGCTAAAAGCCGGAATCAGATGGGGAAACAGAAAGAGAGAAGGTGGGAGGGGGAGGCTTAGGATTTTGAAGGGGGAGAGACGCTGGGAACTGAGAGAATTTCAGTAGCTAGTGTGGATTGTTCAGGATCTAACATTAACTTGTGGTTGTTTATTTTACATATAATAGAATAGCTAAATGATGGAGTGTATTAGTTCTTTAATAATTTATAGAAATACTTTGATGTTGCAGTAATTACATTAAAGGTCACATATCAAAGGTAATTTGGTTGAGCAGCTGTGATGGTTTCTCAGAAGCAATCAATATCACTGTCCGTGGTGCTGATTTCACCAAGGGGCCTGCCAGATTAAAGAAGGCTTATTACCAGGCAGAAAGGCCCAGGGGAAATCAGGAGCACATTGGAGCGACGCGACAGCCCCCCTTCCTCCGATAATTAACACTGTTCCCCATAATCTGTGCTAATCCTTCATACTGGGAGATCCAGTGGCATTTTTCTGAAATCACAAAGACAAGTTGGGTAAGTTGGAGAGAAAGGGCAAAAAGAAACGTGAATATGTGTTGGGAGAGGGGAGGAGTGAAGAGAGAGGCTAGCAACAGAGCTAAAACATAGCCTAGAGTCCCCTTGCAGTGCCTGGAACACCTTTCTTTCTTCAAAGGCTTCATGGGGAGACTCATGGCCTCAAAAACCTCATCATACAATTCTCGGGGCAGGTACAGGCCACAGAGGGGAGGAAAAGAAAGAAAAGGTAGGATTGCAGCATGAAGTTCCCAGGGCACATCGTCCCTGCACAAACTCACATGCAGACAAATGGAAAACAAAATGACCAAGTAAAATTATTCTTTAAAGTGAAGTCATTTTGATTCCAGAAAGCAGAGCTGGTATTATTATTGTCGGTTAGTTTTTTCCTTTGAGATCAGAGGAAGTGTGCCACTAGCAAATACAGGGACAGGACTGAGCAAATGCTCTCACCCATCCAAATAATAGGTGCTCCCACCAGCTGAGGCTGTGTTCATGGCTGCCTGTTTGGTTGGGGGGCAGAGGGGGACCTCTTCGCGTCTGGGGTGACCACACTTGGTGCCCCAGTGAGCACACTCTATGTCTGACTAAGGAGAATGAAATTGAAAAAAAGAACCCGGAAAACTGGTAACCTCAGCAATTTAGGCACTTTTCCAGACTTCAAAATCCATTAAAATCAATCCATTAAAATCAGCCCTCCACTTTTCACTGAGGAAAGAAAGAGGGAAAAAGATAGTACAGGCAGCCTGTTCTGTTTCCTAGCAAGTTACAGAGCTAGCGTCCTGTTGCCAGCAAGAAAAATGATGCCATTGTTGTCGTATACACACTCACACGACCACCACCACTGCCACCATGAGCAACAACAACAAAACCACAGAGACAGAACTAGAGACACCCCTAGCGCATATCTTTATTTGGGGAATGAAGAGGGGAGCTGATATTTCCCTTGGGATAAGTGGAATCTGAGAAACCAGACCATGACACGGCTGTTCTTACCTATCAGAGGTCAATATCCCTGGGAATCAGCCCAGCCAAAGCCCCTCTGATGGCTGACGGAGTCATCCCAGAACCAGTGTCACAAATGAATTATTATTTTTGAGCTTGGCATGATTCCAATAGAATGAGATTATTAAACAATAAAGCCTCATCAGGGTGCCTTCAAGCACTGTTGTCTGCCAGAATCTAGGCAGAGTGACTCCACTTCTCAATCTCTCTCCCCTTCATACTCTCCATCTCACTCTCTCCTGGCCCCCTCCCCCTCTCCTCTCCATCCCCTTCCATTCCTAATGTGTGTTTCGTTATCCACCAGGTACAGTTAACATGGGGCAGCTTTCAGTCCATCTGCAGGTATTTCCTGAGTGTGTGCCAGGCACTGAGGTGGGTTCCTGCAAGACACAGAGATGAGGAAAGCACATTCCCCTCCCCTCTTGGAGTTGTCCACTTAGTTGGGGACAGAAGCCACAAAAAGGATATATAATCAACAAGACAAGACAACACATGTTATTATACAATGGGTAGTGTGGACAATTGCTCAATTATCACAACTATTATTTATTAAGCACTTACTATCTGACAGGCATGATGCCAAGCACTTTTCGTCTATTCCCTTGAGGAAGATGCCATGATTATCCCCACAAGGCCACACAATTGATAAATGTCCGAGCCAGGACCAGCCCTGGGTTTGCTATTAATACCAAAGCCCAGGCTGCTGATCTCTGCTCGCACCACCTACGGAGTGCAGGAGTTGCTCCAGGTTTTCATTCAGGATATGGGCAGGGTGGGAGTAAGACGGGCATATCAGATGAGATCACTGGTCTGAAAAACATTCCCAAGTTGCAGCATGCTGGATGGGCCAGGAGCTGGGAGTGGCCAGCCCATCTGAGCAGAAGACTCACACTGGGCAGTAGAGGCCACTCTGAGGGCTCCCTGCAGCCTGAATGTGCCCAGGAAGCCTCGTGGAAGAATTCTGTTCTTTAAAATAAGCCCCTTGATGCCTTTGGGACTTTGTGGGAATTGTCTTCCAGGAAAAGCCCATCTGTTTCCAAAGGTGGGGATGGAGGATCCCAGGGGAGAGGCTTGGACTAGAGAAAACCAGGTGATGTGACAAGCAGTGGCCTGCACTGTGCTTGTTTGGAAGCAGAAGGGGCTCCTAAGAGCTGGGCCCAGTTAGCAGGGGTCCTGGAGGCAGTGGGAAGAAGGCGCTGGGGGTGGGCTGGGGGAGTGGGAGCTGTATCTGCTTGGTAAACATTAAAGTTCCAATTCACTAGTTAAAGATTGGTTTTCACGTCCTCACTCTGGCAACCGTAGAATACAAAGCAAACGGACACACTCCTCCCTGGCGGCTCCCACGCCCCACCCTGCATGTCAGCCCGCAGACATGCAATGTCCCAGCCATTGCGCCTCCCAACTCAGGTATGTGGACTCAGGATGGGTCATTTCCATGGAAATTTAACATGACCTTCTTTGAGTTTATACCAGGAAAGATGTTAAAATGGAAAATGAAAAAAAAAAAAAAAGAGCTAAATTGGATTTCTGGCACCCCATCTCAGTCTCTTCTTTCTACCCCTTCCTCTCACTGCCCTTTTCCTTAATCCCATTTGCTCTTCCTTTCTTTCTCTCTGTATTTTTTTCCTCTTTCTGTCTTTTCTGAGTGTCTCTGTTTCCACCTCTCTTCTCTCCCTCTGGGCAATTTCCTCTTTCTCTTTTTCCCTCTCATCGACCTTCTCTTCTCTTGTCCTCTCTCTTGTCTATCCTTTTGCCTCTCCTTCCCCTCCCCTTCAGCCCTCCCCCTCCACCCCAACACCCACAGGAGGCTCTGGCAGGACCTCCACCAGCCATGGGGGGCTTCCCTGACAGTCCTGCCATGGAGGGATCCGTCTAATTTTATGTACAACTGTAAAGATGAATGATAAGTAGGGAGGATGCAGGCAAGAACAAGATGAATAAATTATAAAGGGCAAATGATGACAAGACAGGGGTCCCCAGAGACAGTGATATGATAACAGA